ATTTCAAAGCTGGATATATGGGTTCCACATGTTCTTAAAGAGAGATGCTGTCTTTGGTGGGATTTTAAGAAAAATTTTTTTTTTGGAGCTTTTACCAGACAATTTAACAATTGATTTGAAAGTGTACTGCCATCGAGTAAACAAATTGAGTAATATCATCAAACAGAAAAGGCAGCCAGAATTGATCAACAGGTGTAGTGTTTTACCACAATAATGTCAAATTTCGCACAAGTTTGGTAACTCATCAGAAACTGTTATAACTTAGATGGGANTCTTCCATATTTGATGGGACACAAAAAATAAACAATTGCACAAAATCAAACAAAATTTTTTACAAATAAGCCATAAAATGCTAGCTGTCAAAATATATAATGATAGTATGGTTTAGAACGAAAATGGCGGGAAAAATACCACTAATCTGTCTAGTCGGAAAAAAAACGAACTTACTTTTCGAACAACCCAATAATTGTTTAAAAATTTGAAATTGGTTCTGTGCATTCCAGTTTAGAATGCTGTTGACCTGAGGCAGATCTTGTGTAAGATTGAAAACGTTTGTTGAATTTTACATTAAATTTATTTACTTGATTGGAAAGGTTTTATTTGATATACTTGGTCATTAATACAGTTAACAAGAAGGTAATTTTGTTCAAGGTACTTTATTTTTTATAATTGTTAAGGGATTACAGAATAATTTATGTATTTGATCTGTTTATGAAACAAGGTATTATTTGTACTTTTATTGGTCTCTGTAAGCCTTCTGTATTTTTATCAATAGTTTTTTCTTGTCATCTGAGTCACTGGAAGAAAATTTGGTTTAGATACAATTTGAGCAGTTTTGATTTACTAGGAAGACAAGTCTTGCTATCTTATTTTTCTAGAGAATCAAAAATTTTTAGTTTTTAATAGAATTTAAGTTTTTCTTCTTCTAGTATTACAGTAGATTTTCATAAATTATATAAACTGTTACATAGATTAAACTGTATTTTTCAGCTTATCAAATCTGTGATTTTGACACAGAAACAATTTTTTTCTAATAAAGCATTACATAATTAGATTTAGTTACTTTGATTTTTCTTTTTCAGGCTGTCAATGAGTATCAGATTCTTTTCAGAAAACTCCTGTGTTTTCTTAATTTAATTGAGTATTAAGCACAATAGTTTAAGGTTAAACTTTTAATATTTGCTTAGTTCCTATTTTGTTTTGAAAATTTCTGCTTAATGAGTTCTATGATTATAAGTGATATTATTAACACAAAATTTTTCTATTTTAAATTAAATTAGAATACAAAATTTGAACTGAAATAATAAAAGAATTATCTAATTTTATAAATTTCTTTTCATTAAAAGTATCTTGATAAAGCTTCAGATAGAAAGTTTATCGTATTATTTCAAAGAAAAGGATCTAGAAAACTAGCTACTGAGTTATTCATAGTTACGAAAAGTTGTAACATAGTATAAATCTTGTCAATCTGATCATTTATTATTCATAGAAATGCTATTGTAGAACTTGCACACTTACATAAAATAAAAAGTACTGTATTATATGTCTTGAAAATACATATTCTGTGACAGTGAAGGCATTGAGTTACTATTATTGGTACATTGATAATGAAAATTGTATGTAGATAAGATGGTTAGATATTCCCATTTTATTTCTACATCAGTGTCCATTATTAATATGAGTGATGCAAAGATATATATTCAATAAAAATGATTTACTTTAAACAGCTTTTTTAGTGAAATGAAAAGTACTTTTTAAAACAATAAAAATAAAATAAAGATTAAAAATCTAGAACAACATATATTTTATAATGTACAATATTGAAAACTAAGTACAAAAAATAAAATGGACAATTCAGAAGACTTCAAAAATTATTTTATTTGTATTTAGTCTTCAATGTTGTACATTTTTAAAATAAAATAACAATTTTCAGTTTACAAAACTTGAAAATTTCATGTAATTTTGGAATATTTTGAGTTAAAATTGGACAATTCCAAAATATTCAATTCAATATAAATGATTGTCAAAAGATTTTATTTACAAGAAATCAAAGTCTATAGTAAAGACTTTACTTTTAAATATTATAAAAGTTATTATTTCTTGACTTGGAGTAATATGATATAAATATTATGCTGTTTGATAAAGCAATTATGGAGATTCTAAAGATAAAATTTAATAAATAATAATGTGAAACAAAAATTTTTTATTTATTTTATAAAAGATGTCTAAACATTGTTTATAGGAAGATAGAAAATTATTGGTATTAAAATTAATTATTAAACTCATAAAAAGAATTTAAATTTAAATTAAAAAAAGCACAAAATAAAAACTCAACTATAATTTAATTAATAAAGTACAAAATGATATATATGTTACTGTAAAAGCCCATATATTCATAAATCCTAGGTTTTACTTGTAAATCTTCAGATTTACCAACATGAGTTAGTAAATCTAAGCTAATGAGTAATCACAGTATTTTTTCTAATCATTTGGTATTCATTGTCATTTAATAAAAGTAAAAAAAAAAAAAAAACGATTTTATTTGTTACAACATGGAGAGCTATCATGGCATTTAGAATTACAAAGTAATCCTGATGACTTGCAAGTGCACTTCTTTGTTACGCATTTTTTTAGGCAGTTGCATGTCTTGAAACCTTGTCCTGACGGTCAAAGACAATTTTGCGACAACTTCTCAAAGACTCACTTCTTTATCTTTAACAACTTCATCTATCTTGATAAAGTCTTCATCAAGACATGAGGTAAATTAATTTTGTGTATAAAGCTGCTTTAGCACTCCAATTTTGGTACCTAGTTGGTAAAACTCGTTGTCCTTTACATCTATTACAACTGTAATAACGCTTTTCGGGTCAGTTTTAGTTTTGTCAATTTCAGGCACTTTCAGTCTTACATTTTCGCCAATTTTCATATTTGGATATTTATCAACAGACATGGCTTTCATTTTTTCAGCTTGTTTCTCCAAACTCAATTTTGCATTGTTACTTATAGTCACTATAGATTCTATCTTTTTTGGTATTGGCTCTATAGTTACAAGACCTTCCTGAGACTCAATCATATTTTCTGTCTCTGAATCAGTATCTCTCTGCTTTGCCTTCATCTTCTCAGTAATAATCATTTCATCTTCTTGTGTTTTATCCCCTTCTGACTCATTTTCAACAATGCTTTCTTCCTTGTCCTTTTCGATTGCATTTTCGATGTCATTATTTTGTTCCGTACTGTCATGCGAATGCAACAACTTCTCTAAATCTTCTTCAGGTCTTATAACTCTAATCATATCACCAGGGATTGCTGAAGTTGCAAGGCCCATTTTCATTGGACAACCAAACATTGCTTCGTAGGGAGAACATTTGATTCCCTTGTGATATGCTCTATTTTTCATCGTCTGGATGAAACTTTAACCCTCTGACCACTTTGATAACTGATTGGTTTCCATCCAGGTGATCAACATATTTTCTATGTCTTGATTAGCACGCTCCACTGATCCTTGACTTTGACTATGTCTTGCCTTTCCATGTATGATTTTTACATCCAGCCACATGGAGCATAAACTCTCAATAACTTGGTTAAAGAATTCTTGGCCATTATCGGAATGAAGGATGCTCGGCGCTCCAAAAGTGGTGAAAATATCCAAAAGATGATATGCAACTTCTACGGTGCATTTAGTTTGAAGTGCACGAAGGATCATAAATTTGTTAAGATAGTTTTGGTAAACTAAAATAAATATATAATTTCCATCTGGGGTAGTTTTTAGATCTATTAGATCAACCTGACAGCGTGAGTTCATTTCACTATGAAGTATAAGTCTGATGACAATGCCCTTTTTCAAAGTCTTCTTTTTCTTTTGGCAAGGTTGACATAGCTTCAAATATGTCATAGTAGCCTCAACTGTTACATTTTTATACTTGCGGTTACATTCCTTAAGCATCCGTGTCCTTCCACTGTGGCCAACAGCAACATGCGTTTCTTCGAGAATATTGAATAAGTCCTCGTAACAAATGTAATACCTTATTTCTCCATCCTCCTCCTTCATAGGCGCAATTAGTTTTTCTTCGCCGCCTATAGTCAGAATGTCGTAACGCTTTATATGCCTGTAATGAACAGCTTGTTTCTTTTTCATGTTCTTTGCAGCTTTTACTTCCTCCAAACACTTTGCATATTTGTCCCTATTGAGATAAAAGTTATCTTTCTTGCTTGCAATGAGCTTGTCCATTATTTCATAAAATCTCCATTTCACACTCATTTTGATTCATAAAAAACTTTTAGACAGAGAAATCTCAAACAAGATTAGAATTACTGTGTGCATTCTAATGTGTCAAATGATGGAATGTGGCGGCGCGGTGCGGTACGGGATCGGAGACTATTTTTTCAACATTCACCATGTCTCTGCGATAAAACCTAAGATATACCGAGTAAATGCTGGTAAAAGTTCAAAATTAACAATGATCGCAGAACATTTCGGACTTTTACCACAATGATTTGGTAAATCTTAGGTTTTACTGGAAAATCTTAGGATTTACCATAGTTCGAGCATTTACAGTAACATATACACAGCAATTTATCTTTTTCAAATTGGCTGATAGACAGATAGTTAATATTTAAATTATTTTGATGATTATGTATAAAGGATTTATCTGGTATTTTTATTTTTTAAAAATAATTAATATACATTTAATGAAATGGATTTGCTTGAAAATAGTTTTTTCATCTTTTTATTTCTTAGATGTAATTGACTATATAAATTGATTTTTCAAAATTATTAATTTATTCTAGAAAACAAGTCACTAATTATAAACTTACTGAAATTTTAATTAAATTATTGTTAACAGTGTATAACAAAATTTTTAGTATCAATAATTTTTTCAAATTTCTGAACAGAGTTAAATAATAATTTTATTAGCTTAATTTAATTAAATATATTACAATTACATTTATTATATTTGAAGTTAAAATATGTAATAATATGTATATATTTTTTTATTTAGTTCCTCTGATGGGTCTGCTACAAAATTAACAAAGAGACATAACCCAGATATCAAAGAAGAATGCAGCGTTGCAGAAATTAAACTTCCATCTTATGTTAGCATTAGTTGTGCTATTAATGGTTACACTAGTTATGGACGTTTCTGCCGAAGTCGAGATAATAGCCCTGCAAGATTTCCTTTATCATCTAGCCCATTAAAAAATTGGGAACAGTCACTTACTTGTAATACAAATTCAAAATCAGCCATGAGTAATGGAGAGAAAGATCCAACAAAGGAATTCAATAGGAACATTTCATATAAAGAATCTAAAGAATTATTTATTGGCAAGCAGCTAGAAATTCCTTTGCTTAATGGTGGCGAAACACCGGTAAATGAACATAATATCTCTGATACAAATGGAAAATTAGATGTTACTGATAATGCTGTCAATGGACTTGAAGATGAGAAAGGTATTTTGTTAGAAACTCTTCAGGAATTTGGAAGCACAACAAGTAAACATAAGTCCCTTGTTTTGCAAAGAATTGAAAGTTTATATGGACCAAGTTCAGATGAAATTTGTAAAGTTCGTCCTAGAAATAATAAATTAATAGAACCTACTGATAAAAGTATGACAGTGACAAGAAGAAGTCCATCATGCCCACCTCAGGTTTCAAGGAATCAGTCTAGTATGTTTTTTAATTTCATTAATATTTGAAGTATAATTATTTAATTATAATATACTTTTTGCTATTTCAAAAAACTATAAGAAAAATGAATTTTAATTGAATAGAAAACTTTAATTTAAGAAACAAAATGTTAGCAGTTTTGATACATTAAATTTTTAAAATTTCTACTCATATGAAAGTACATGAAAATATTTATGATATTTCTAATTATATTTCTGACAAAAAATTAAAAGTACATAAAATGCATTTCAGTTCAGAAAATTTGGAACATTTTGGTCCCTATATATTAAACTGAGATTTATCCATTACACCAGACAATTTTTACTGTTATTAGGAATTGACAAACATAATTCATATAAATGAGGTTTTTTACCTCTTTAGGGAAGATGATTGTTAGAGGAAGAGAATAGGATCTTTTCTCATAAACAAAATTTTATTTAACTACTTATACCAATTTACATTTTATATTGCTAGACAAGAGCAGTTTATTTGGTTGAGATTACATTATAGTATTTGACAGCATTCAAACATAAATACCTGAATTCATTAGCATTCTCAAAACAAATGTTCCAAGCTCAAATTCAACAGAGTTGAATTGCACAGGTCTGCAAGTAAAAAACTGCATAGGATTTTTATACATTTTCTTACAGATTTCAACTTGGTAAAAAGAAAAAAAAAAATACCAAAAAGATTCCATCTTGCCAAAATGGCCTTAAAACGAAGACTTCTCACATTAATTCTATCAATTATAGCTGGACTTGGTAATAAATAAATAAAAATATTAATGGTTGAAGAGAGTTGTGGTAGGGGGAGGTTAGTTAAGTAGTTTTATCGTTAGGAGGAAAGTTGAGATCATATAGAAACAGGTTAAAAGTTGATAGTGAGTAATAATATTGGCAAGGTTGAGCGTGCTTCGACATGCTATCTGGGCTACTAGGAATAAATATAAACAACCTGCTGTTGGATTAGATCGTGTTTCAACATGTTATCCGGGATAATAGAAATAAATATAAACAACCTGCTGTTGGATTAGATCGTGTTTCAACAAGCTAAATAAGTTCAGTATCTCGCTGGCCATCTGCTACACTCAGTTTATATCCAGCAGTCGAACGCTACTGTACTTGTATTTTTATTTCTAGAATATGGCTCGCAGAGGTTGTATAATTTCTCCCAACAGCTTCTGTTATGTTTGTGGTGAATACACAGTGAAAAGTCAACAAAGAAACATAAGTGAGTTTAAAAGTATAAAAATAACCACTTAACAAAACCAATAACCGGTATTAAATAATTGTAAAATGAACTGCAAACGTTTTTGGTTCCTTCCTTAGGACCTTTCTCAAGCAACGATTCGTCTTTAGAATAAATATGAACGAAGACCAGTAAATTGCGACATTCGAAAAATCATTCTTCCGAACAACATTTCAAAAGTCAAAATTCAACGTTAATGTGAATCATGTGCATTCCCAAATTCTGTAAATAAATTCAATAAAAAAATGTTCGGTTTACATATTCGTATGATGTTTAAACCCTATTTATGAAACGTATTATTAATGCGTATCTTCTTTCTGTAGTAGGGCCTGCCATGCAAGGGATAGGGTAATTTCATCCCTCGAGTTAATAGGTTCAGAAGTGTTGTATACCTTGCAGATCTCCATTTGTTCCAACCATTTGAGGTGATCCGTAAATGTAGTAGTAATGAGGAGTCTGGCGTTATCAAAGTCTACCGAAATCTCAGTGTTCGAAGCATACATGGATAACGAAGTAGTACTCCTGTTGTGGATGATGTCACTTCTGTGTTCCGCCCATCGGACACCAATCGAACGCTTAGTAATTACCAATGTAGATCAGTTGTCTCTCAAATCTGTGGTCCACGAGGGGAACAGCATATACTCCTGGCAGCTTATCCTCCTTAGGTTTATCTTTTTCATTGCGTAAAAGCTTAAACATAGATGGACATCTTCTGAATGACAGTCGTAATCCTTGTTTTTTAGCGATATTTTGGTATAAGGATATGAGGAAGGGGTTGTATGTGACAGTTGTGATGGGTTGGTCTTGTTCTATCTTATTCCCATTCTGTGGCGGTGGTAGGCCGATGCTGTATTGTTGAGCTAATTTATGGACAATGTTATAGAATCCTTGTTGACCAGCAATGTTAAGTAGATAGTTCAATTCTTGAACTAATGCCTCCTGAGTTGAAGAATGGTTGTGGGCCCTCTTAACCAGTGCTTTAAAGGCCGCCATTTTATATCTGAATGGGTCACAGGAGTTCGCTGGGATATACATTGGGAAGTGACAACCTTTGTGGTATACAGAAGTTTCCAAGGTGTCTCCTCCAAACGCAATGCTCAAATCAAGAAAATGTACATTTTTATCACTATGTTGCTCCAGCTCTATGGTAAGGCCATATGGATTGTCATTCATCTGATTAATAAAGTGGGTGATGTCTGGGTCGTTTTTCCACAAAATAATGTTGTTGTCTATGTATCGCTTGTATAATAAGATGTTGTGGGAGAAACCAGGAATTGTTTTATCTTCCAGCTGTCTTATTACCAGTTCACACAGGTCGCCTGAGACCGCACTTCCCATGGGAACGCCTCTGCCCTGCGCATATGTGGTTCCTCCAAATTGAAAAATAGAGCTGTAGCAGATCAAATGTGCTACTTCAAGTACTTGCTGGTGTAACTCATGGTGATAAACGTTATGGAATAGAAAATCCCTGAGTGCGCAAAAACATGGTGGTAATTGGATGGAAGGATATAAAGCACGGAAATCCATAACAGAGATGTACGCAGGCTTTTCGGTGTTTTTGAGGCAAGCTATTAAATCAACCGGATTGGAGATTGTGTATTGGTAATCCTGTAACTTAGGAGAGATGAGATCATGCATGAATGCTTCTAATTTGCGAGTGGGGGCCGTGGCCTTATCAACCACAGGTCTCAATTTGTGGCCCTGCTTATGCATCTTAGCAATTGCAAAAAGTTTGTGCGTATCAGGTGCGTCCATTACAATATCCCGCATTCCTAACGTAGAAGCCAGTTTAGAGTTAGAGAAGCATTTGATCTTATTGTGTAAATTTGTGCAAAGGATGGGCAAACAATTTTAGGATTTTTATATGCGCATGCATTAACATTCATTTGCATTGTTCATCGGGATAAATACAAACAGTATGGGTACGTTGCACAGACAGTGTATTATTGTAAGAATAAATTATCGAATTAACATTTTTAAACATTAATTTAAGTGAAAGCAAATTGTTCAACTTTAGCTTTGTGGGCTACTTTCAAAACCTTTGCGGTCGACCAGTCGACCGTGGTCTACGTGTTGGCCATCCCTGATGTAGTGCATAAGTTTTTGGGGAATACTAAGGACCCTGACTACAAAACCATTGTATAACGCATCCTGGTAGCGTATGAAACTCAAGGATGCAAGATGGGCTTAAAAGTTCATTTCTTACACTCTCATATTGATTATTTTCCCGAAAACTTGGGAGCCTACAGTGAAGAACAGGATGAAAGATTTCATCAGGATGTTTGTGATATCAAGAGACATTACCAAGGAAAATGGGATGTTAGCTGACTATTGTTGGATGCTCAATCGAGAAACCAGAGAAGGAATTCAGAAATGAGTTTGGAGAAGCATCAAAAAGAAGAAAAGGTTTCATAAGAAAAAAGAGTAGACCTAAAATTGTGTATAAATATCAGAAACAATTCATTGATTAGTTGTAAGAAAATATTTATTACAAAGTTTTTATCAAAAATTTGTTTTTATTTTGCAAAAAACCTTTATGTGATGGGATGTAACGGAAGTTATTTTTAAAATCTGCAATCTTTAAAACATATAATTCCACAAAAATATTCCATGCAGCTGGAAAAAAATTTTTTTGCAGACCTGCGTTGTTTTTGAGATCTGGAAGTGAAAATAACACTTCTCTTCAGTGATTCAAACTAGTTGAATGAGATTTCCTTCTCCATTGTTTTTGTCAGGGGATGATTTAGCAGATGATGAGAGGACTGTAGTTAATCAGAAAGAATGAAAAACTTTTTTTTATATTAGTTTCTTGAACTTAGACACTCTGAGCTAGTTTGGAGAGAACAATAAGAGGACTTCTTTGAAACTGCTTCTCTGTCAGCAGCTAAGAGAAAAGACAGAAAGAAACTCTCTTCTTTTCTCTCCATCTGACTCAAATTTTTCAAAAATCTTCTCCTTAGACATCTGAAAATGCTTTGAATCAAAAAAAGAGATGAATCAACTGTAATTTATGTATAGTTGATTTATTTTTCTTTTTGATTGGATCCACAAATTGTCAATGAAATTTTTCAGGGAATAATCCCAATAAGCTTACTCTCAAATGATCCTTCTCAGGGATATTTTCTCTGGCCTATCTCTCTTACCATGCAGAGAGATTTGCCATGCAATGCTAAACTGATAAGTTAACAAAAATATTTTAGATTAAAAAAATGCTTTAATTTAAGCATTTGTCATTGTCATCATAGGATAGCATATACAGTTATAAAATTGATAAAATGTGCTGTTTAATAGAAATAAAATTGAAGTCAGTGCCATGAATGATTATTTTTAGCACAGACAGTAATTAATAGAATTTTGACAACAAAAATGCAAAATTTATTAATGACAATGACTTCAGAATGAATTTTTATAAGGTTCAAAAATTTCAATTAAAGATGAACTTCAAGTAATGAACGCCAAAAATACTTTAAAAGAAAAATTTCATATTTGGCAAGAAAATTTTTGTATTATTGAAATTATTTTCCTACCATGCTCATGTTGTCTAATGTCTAAAACACTCCTTGACATTATTTAAATTAAATTATTTTAACTAAAGTTAATAGGAAAAATTACATGCATTTACAATTTAAATAATTTCATTAAAACATTAATTTTTGAAATCACATGAAATTTTAAAACAACACAAGCAGGATCTGGACCATGGTAATTAATTAATAATAGTTTTCTTATATGCTTACATCATGGCTGAGAGGATAAAACACTGGTAGTTAGTTATAGATTTGCATTTCACCATTGAGCTGGCCACATGAAGTTTTTTGGGTTTTCACATATCTAACACCTAAATAGAGTTAGTTTTCTATAGAAAGTCATCCTGGGAGACATCCCTCTGTAGAAGATTGTCCAAGTATTGCATTACCTTTTTTCATCAATCTATCCATTATGAGATAATTAACTTCTTTCCTTATTTGATATCATTGAAAGTATCATCTGAAAACACTGAAAATATTTGCCCAATGTGTAGTGCTGAACAGTGAATACTTGAATTTAAATATTCAAGTATTTTGAGTTAATTGGGCTGCAATTTGAAAAAATTGTAGACCTATAAATTCCCTCTGTCATCTATTTTTCCTTAATCTTGAGAATGGAGTTAGATAGATGAAAGCCAAGACCAGATATGGAAAGCTTGGGATTAACTATATACCAACTTCCAGTACAAACCAGAAGTCACGTTATTTCAATTCAAAAATTTTTCCTGAAAAAGTTAGATAGATAACCTGCACTATATGGCTAACAGAAAAGTATGATGTACTACAGGGGCAACACACTGCTAATTTGAAGGAAGAAAGCACATATTTCAAATTAAAAAATTATTAAAAATTGCAGCTTGGCATGTTGATAATGTCACAATGAATAATTGCTCATATTATAAATTACTTTAGATTTATTCAGATATCAGGTTCCTCAGCAATGTGTGGTCCACAGATCCCTATGGTTCTGAAGATGTGTTGACCTTGGGTGTGATCCTTGAGTTTATAGAAGAAAAAGATGCATATTATATTATGCAAATAAATATTACAAGAAGCAATTTTTTAATCTTTATTAAAACACACATTAAAGTTAAATTAAAAACATAAAATCATTTAAATTAAATTAAAATGTCTTAAAGACATTATTTTCAAAAGCACTTGTTAATATTTTAAGTATATTTTAATTAAATTTATTCTAGGGTGTCTGCCAAAAGTTGTCTTTTATTAAAGGGATCTACCAGAAAGTGAAATTTGACAAACACTGGGTTAATGCAAGCCATTGGGGTATTTTGTACTTATAGGCATATAGTTAATACAATTTTTGAAAAATTGGAAGATGTTTTTTCTTTTACAATTTAAATAAAGATATGCTGTTGATAATAAGAATATTAAAACTACTACAATGAAATGTTGACTTCATGTGTGGGGTGTGTAGAAATGTAAAGAATACTACAAATGCTATTTTTCCATAAATTTTATTTTGTTACTATACCTAAAGATAAAGTATTTAAGCAGTTCTTTAAACTTTGCATAACCATATCAAATGAGCTAATTCTAATTTTTATATTTTTTACAATTTTAGATTTAATAAGCAAGACACAAGACACACAAGACTTATTACACACAAGACTTATTATTTTATTGCATTGTACATTTAGCCAAACATATCAAAAATAAAGTGAAAAAAGTACTGAAAACATACGAGCATAACTTGAGTGAGAGACAACTTGGACATATAACAATACATTTACACTTTAAGTGCATTTTTCCACTGCTCATGCAGTTTGAACTCTGAGGCAAATTTTTGTCGAAATTAGAGTTCAAACTCTGAAGCATTCAAAGTATGAGGGACTACTGTACTTGTGAAATGTAAAAGATGTGATATTTGCATATGGCATGTTTTCACCTAAAGATGAATAGTTTTAAAAATAAAATTTGTTTTCCAAAATAATTTGATCATTTTTCCTCTTTATTTATAGAAATTAATATAGTTCCAAGCAAGTAATTTCTGAAGCTTGAGTAGAGAATAATATCTTTTATTTTCTCCATTTAAAATGTAGTTATTCATATTTCTATTTGATTCTACATTTACAACTAAAGTAGATAAAACTGAATTAAATATTGTAAGCTGTTTTTGTAGGAGGAAAACCAATCATTATAATTTTAAATAGAAATATTAATTTTAATGATTTGGTANTGATTGATTATTTAAATAATGTTTAACTTAATAGATTATTCCTTATCAAATTATGTAACAACAATGAATTATCAGTCAAATTAATACATAGAATTTTAATTAGGATTGATCAAAATTCCACATATTCATTTAACTGAAAATTAACTTCCTAAATGTTTTATTATCAAATCAATAATGCTGTTTAATACAACTATTCTGGGAAAGATTTACAGATATCATTCAAAATCATCAGTTTTTTTAAAAATTTATTTTATGACAAATTTAACCCCTTGCCGCCCACCGATTAATTAATTTAATGTAATTAAGCATAAAAAGTACTTAAAACTGAAAAAATGAAAGAAATGCGTTAATTTTGAAGAAAAAGCTCCAAAGTTTAACTTCCTTTGTCTTGCCTTTCTGTGAAATTTTACACTGATGAGTCATTGTTTACACAGCTGGGTGATCTTGAGAACATCTGGTGTCAGATTTCCCGGGACATTCTCATAGACGTCTCGGGAGGACAAGGGTTTAAAGTAGGGTGAATACTAGCTGGCGGTATATTTTTAAATATTTTTAAAATAAAAATTTAACTTCAAATAGAAATACTCACAATTGATACATAGTTAATAATTATATGAATTTGCACGTATAATATATTTTTTTTTATAACAAATTTTACTATTTCACTATCATCATCACTAAGCCATAAAACTTATCTTCTCAGTCCACATTAGATTGAGTTTGCGGGAGTACACTATACTATGTTAACTGATTTCTGAAAGCTAAGTTTGTATCTTGTTTGCTATTAACTTTCACTTTATCATCATATCTCATCTTTATGTATATTTATTTTATATTTTTATTGATTTCTAGCTCAGTTTAGTGTAATAAGCTCTCATGCCAAAACAATAACTAAGTAATGGAAAAACTAGTACAGCTCATAAAGAAAACAAATTGGCTTGATTATAAAAATACATCAAGTACTTATTTATAAATTATATTTCAAAGATACTTTCTTAAAAGATATATAAAACACTATGAATAGGACAAGAGTAGTTTTTCAGATTTGACCTAGTTTGTTCAAAAAGAAATAAAAGAAGACTATTTTTAAATAAATACATGTAAATTTTAAAATTAAAAAATGTCATAAATAGTTAACAATAGTTAATTTAAAAATGGAAAGCATACTTAAAATTAAACAATAAAATAAATGAATACACATTTTAAATTCAACCCAAAATTTTCTTTTGAAAAATTTTTGTTTTAGAAAATGCAATTTAGATTGAATAGAAAAAAAATTCTTAACTTTACAGTTTTCAAATTCTTAAATAAGATGTTAATCAATTGTTATTTTCACGCACATGTAAGTGTATGTAGAAATTAGATACTGTAAAAGTTACTTATTGTTATCAGTCAATTAATATTATCAGAATTAGTGTCTTTAAATATAAAAATTAAAATACATTTATAAAACACCAATTATTATCATCAGAATTTTGCTATAGTTGTCATAATATAAATAGTATTTGTAAGCTGTCTTTTTACACTGTCAATTGCAACCAGTGCTTTAAATGCTAAACATGAATTATTTAATTGTTGTTTATTTGTATATAATTAAAATTTGGAGTGTTTTTACTTCAATTACACACTGGGTAAATTATTAATTAATTAATAACAATAACTATAATTAGTAAATCTTCAAATTATTTAATTGTTTTAACATATTCCTTTAATGTAAGAGTCAATAAAACCAGAATTTCCATGATTGTCCCAAAGCGATCATAATAAGCAGCTTCTACTGCAAATAAAATATTTTTAATTATAAACCATTTCTAACTTAGAAAAATAAACAATATTTACATTAAAAAGTTTTTATCATTTTCTTTTCTAATTACCTTTAATTATTTTTATTAACTATTTATTCATTTTAAATTAACTATGCTATGTCTATAATAAATTGTTTAGATGTAAGTTTGATGTATGACTTAATTTTTAAATTTGTCTAACTTTTTATGTACAGTATATTATATCTTAAAATTTCATTTTTCAGGAAGTCCACCTGTATTTAGGCACCTCACAAAGGATTTTAGAGACCAATTAAAAGGAAGTGATTCAAATTCCTATACTGTCACAAAAAATATAAAATTAGTGAATGGTTCAGGTAATTGAGTCTAAAATAATTTTTTTTTTTTTTTCTTAAACTTTTTCTTTTGATTTATATAATCTTTCACCTATCATTTTTTAGGGAAAGTACATACAAAATCAAATTTAGCAGATATTCCTTCTTCTCCTTTATCACCAAAAGAAAATATTGAGAATGATGGTAATTGGTTTATTACATTGATGGAAAAAGAGAAGCTAATTATTCAACAGCAGATTGTAAATACAGAAAAATATTTAGAAGATAGCAGCATTCCAGAAGAAGCATGTGGAAAAATTCGTTCTGCAATTGGAAAAGCAAATCTTTTATTAACACAGAAATTTGAACAATTTTATCAGTTGTGTTTAAAAAATATTGTGAGTATTGTATATATATTTTTTAATTTTCAATAATATATTTTATTTTTAACAAATTTATAAAGAATTTGTTTTGAAATTATAAAATATATAAATAATAATGTAGAGATGAATCTTCTTTCAATAGTATGATAAAATTAAACATTTCCTAAAGCTAGAATCAATGTCTCAGATATGTTTTTAAAGAGATAAAAATCACTAATTTATTCATTAGTATGAGATAGTCAATATAAGATGCCTGAACTTAAGAATTTCTTCATTATTTTTAAATATTTACTTATATTTAGTTACAAAAAGTAATTTTATTTTTTTGTAAGTATAATATCTGTAATTATAAATAATAGATAATTAACAGTAAGAGATAAATTTGGAAAATATTATTTATAATGACTAGATTTATGTAATAGTTTATAGGAATATCTATATCTACATAGGGTATAAGGAGAGAATTAGTTCTTTATATGGGCTTTAAAGGTATTTAAAGGAGAATATAAAGTAGAATAATATGTTAAACAAAGTTGCTATGATATAAAAATTTTGTTATTTAAAATAAACTTTTATATATAAAACTGTAAAATTTACTCTCTAACGAGGAGAAAATTATAATTTTAAACTTCAGAATAAATGTATTCTATAGTCTACATATATTCCAGAAGAGAGTAATTTTTATTGTTAAAGCTGTTGTATTTCATTTCAAAGCCAACAAAAAAACGCAATCTAGTAATTTAACCAAAAAAATATTTATGGAATTAATGTTGATATGATTGTTTTCTATTGATTGATTATTTAAATAATGTTTAACTTAATAGATTATTCCTTATCAAATTATGTAACAACAATGAATTATCAGTCAAATTAATACATAGAATTTTAATTAGGATTGATCAAAATTCCACATATTCATTTAACTGAAAATTAACTTCCTAAATGTTTTATTATCAAATCAATAATGCTGTTTAATACAACTATTCTGGGAAAGATTTACAGATATCATTCAAAATCATCAGTTTTTTTAAAAATTTATTTTATGACAAATTTAACCCCTTGCCGCCCACCGATTAATTAATTTAATGTAATTAAGCATAAAAAGTACTTAAAACTGAAAAAATGAAAGAAATGCGTTAATTTTGAAGAAAAAGCTCCAAAGTTTAACTTCCTTTGTCTTGCCTTTCTGTGAAATTTTACACTGATGAGTCATTGTTTACACAGCTGGGTGATCTTGAGAACATCTGGTGTCAGATTTCCCGGGACATTCTCATAGATGTCCCGGGAGGACAAGGGTTTAAAGTAGGGTGAATACTAGCTGGCGGTATATTTTTAAATATTTTTAAAAAATTAAAATTTTTATTGCAATTTCCTACCCCCCCCCCGATTTAATTAAACTTATATATAATAAAATATATTAATTAAAAAAATTAAAAAACTATTGGAGGTCGTTTTTGACATCAGAAAGTAGCCTTAAATAACTTTACCGAAGTCAAATCCGTGCACTACAACTTTAGAACGATTAATTAAATTTGATAAAAAAATCGCATTAAAAAACAATTAAGCGTGAATTGCGCGCCATTAAAGGTTGATTTAAATCGCGATAAATTTTTTTGCGCGGGTAAAATTTTTTTTAAAAATTTGGAGACAAAAAACATTCCAAAAATAAAAATAAAAAAATTTTAAAAGTGGCCTTAAGAACCGAGTTTTTTGTAACACTATGTAAACTTGACGAGTTAACTCATCAATGGGCGTTACTGGACCAAATATCTGGCTTCCAGAAATCTGGAAGCCAGATATTTGGTCACTTGGGTTTTTTCCAAGATGTGTCGAATGCATCTATGACTTCTTTTTTATGGAAGAAAACAATCTAAGTATTCTTTTTTGACTATAATTTGGAAGTTTCTCTTTGTATAAACAAATGTTGTGTTTTTCTTTAACTGAAATGACTGCTCATTGAGGAGACTCACACAATAGTAGATTATAGCAAGTTAACAGTACATTAGAGTAAAACACAATGAAAGAGTAACAGATTTCAAAGCATGAAATGATGAGTCGTTGCTACTTGCTGTGGGTGAGACACACCCAACATTCCACCAGCATGACATTACAAACAGTTTAGGGAGAAGGAATTCCAAAAATTTTTACTGGCATTAAATGAGTTGGCACAATAACGGGGTTTTTAAATGTATATTCCATAGGGAAGATTTGTTTTCCATAAATAAATGGTAGTAAATGAGGGTTGCAATCTAACAAAGGGGCATACTAACAAGGGTTGACTATTATTATTTTATATGAAATCCAATTTCTCTCAAGAATATTATGTAATTTAAAATTTTAATAAAATAGGTTTAAAAACATATCAATAATTATAAAAAACTTTAAATAATTAAATAAATAATTTCTATTATTTATTAATTACAGAATCAAGAAATTGATGAACCTATTCCAACATCATCAGATTTGACTGGTTTTTGGGATTTGGTTTTGCTGCAAGTGGCTGATGTTAAGAATACTTTCTCTGAAATACAAAAATTAAAAGAAAATAATTGGCTAGAAGTCAAGTCACCAGAAGTTTGTATTTTTATGATTTGATTTAATTTTTTTAAGATAAGATTTTTAATTATTTAAATAAAATTCTAGGGGAGAAAAATTCAACCAAAAATTCGAAGGCAAGTTCCTCCAGGAACATCCAAATCGAATCCTTCCACTCCCAGTCGTTCTTCCAAATCTGCAGAATTAGCAAAAGCCAGGGAACAAGCTCGCAAACAGCTCATGGAAGCCAAAAGGAGGGGTCGGAAACAAAATGCTGCACAAGATTCTGAAACAGAAATAGCTATTTTCATTCCACAGAATGCAAATTCACATTGAAATGTCATAATAATAATAATATATATATATATATATATTATTTTTTTTGTTCATAAAGTATTTCGTAACTAGCAGAAGACAGAAAGAATTACTGTTTAATTCTTTACAAAAATTTAGTTTGTGTTCTTATTTTTGTGCATGTGGACAGAGTTGTGAATCTTCATTCAGGTTTGTTAGTCATGGATAATTGTGATTATTCTAGCAATTGTTAAAATTTTTCTGTGTTCTTTTTTTTCTGTTCAGAAATTTAGCTGTCAAAACATGTATCAGTCAACATCAGAAACAGAGTATTTTGCATAGGTTTAGAACAAAATTTTTAATTACGTAAAAAGAAAATTGCAATATTATTGTTAAATCATTAAATACATTCTAAGTTTCTGTTGGGCGGAAAAAAAATGTGATTCTTGAATAACTGTTGAAGTATCTTTGTGAAGGTTGTAATCTATGGTCTGTTAAATTGTTGAGATATTTTTTCCAACAAAATTAGAATTTAGTTCCTCAAATGATTATTTAATTGTTTCTATTTAAACTTGATTATATTTTACTAAGTCATGTTAAATGAATATAGAAATGGTGTTTTTCCCTTAAGTAATACAAATGATGCTGTAAATATATGCTATTATGTTGGGAAGATCTGTCATTTTTATATATATATATGAAATTACTCAAAGTAATAATTTTTTAAACGTTTTATAATATATATATGTATACATGCGTATATACAGCATATATATTATACTTTGTGTACCTGTGTGTGTATGTGTGTATGTAATTGGAAAGGAATTTAGTCACTGGAAGTAGTAACTTGTATACTTAAGAATTTTGGCAGCAAAACCTTAATTGGTGATTTATCATTTGGATTGGAAAATGGTAATTTTCTTACAAAATGTGTGATGGAAATGAATTCTATAGACATGTAAGCTGTCTTGAAATATCAAATTCATATATAGATCACATTAATTACACATGTATGCCAAATTCATAAATCTGAGCTCTAATAATTCAATGTGGTCACTTATTTAGGCAATTTTTTTATTAGTACATAACAAGAATTCAGTTGCTAGTTAAATGGCTAGCAAAACAAATTAGTGTTCAAATTTTGAGAATAGCCCAGATTTATGAATTATTCTCTATACACATGTATATAAATACATAGTATATATATATGTATATATATATACACACACACACAGAAAAATCTATATTATATTATTTGATTGAATGCAGCTTGAAATTATGTGCCTTTTAGAAGATATCTTCTAATTTACAAATTTCTGTATATGATGCAGATGAATTTCAGACGTGCCAAGGGTTGTAAAATGCTTATCGTCATCATGTATAAAAATCACATTTTGGATGTACTTCATTTATCAGGTTTACACATTCCAAAAGGTGTTTATTGCACTATCACACAATTATTTGAAAACCGACGTATCTAATAATCTCACGTATGATTTATTAAGTGTGTCGATCGAGTGCATGAAAACTGTCTTCTGTTCGATATCAAACTTAAAATAATCTATTGGCATTGAGGGATTGCTTATATAAATATATATAAATTTAAAAAGTTATAAATTATTGGACTTTTTCTTGTCGACACACAATTTGTTGCATTGTAAACATAATTGGTATATTTGTCATTGTTCATGAATAAAATTGGTATTGCAAAAATTGATGTTTGATTTACATAATTTTAATAATAATAATGATTTTATCATCTAAAAATTAATTATAATTGTATAAATACATGATTATTTTATTGAGTGATATAATGCCTGATTTACAAGAATATAGAACAAAATTCAGAATTTATTAAATTGAGTTAGGATTTCCTTTTCCATTGTTTTCATTTATTGTGCAATAATTCAAGTCTTAATTTTTCCTGCAAATAGGCTCTCAATATGGGAAAGAGTGCTAAACAAAGCCCATAATTGAGTAGTCTACGAAAAAGCAAAATCCAGACAAGATTTCTCTTAGGACATAAACAGGACTTATTCTATTCTATTTATTATTAAATTAATAGTCCATGAAGTTGCATAAAATAAAGTAGTTACAATTAAATTTCATCCTTTGTATATATGATCAATTTGCAATTAAAAAAAATCTCTAAGACTTAATAAATTATAGCAAATTAAATTATATGTAAAAATAAACACACTTATCACTTTGACTTTTCTTTGTAAATTTTTTTGGTATTTCTTTCAAAAGCTGTCATTTCTCTAAAATTAATAACTTATTTTTTAACCAAAAAAGCTTTAAATTGGTGATTACATTTTTTTTTATTAATTGTAAAGCTGGCAATGAGGTGTCTTCAGTCTGTTGTTTAAAATATAGAAATTATGCATGCAAAGTTTTGCATTTAGTCTCTCCAAATTTCCTTTTTATCAAAAAAGTGAATTTTGAATGTTATGATGAGCTCAGTTAAAAAAAAATGAAATCACTCTACAACCATTGAATTTTGTATGGGAAAAAAACTGTCTTCATTAAATTCTCTAACATTTGTGATAAATTGAATTGGCTCTTGCAAAGGCTGGCTTCCAGAATGTTGAATCTTTGCAATCCCATCACAGTTCACCTAATGTGAGTTCTTTAATTAATACAAACATAGGTTTTCTAATGAAGAAAAGGCAAAGAAACTTTGGGCACTGCTAAGATAAAATAAATTAGGAACAATGCAGACAACATTGTTCCTAATTTGAAAACATTGTCCATAATTTTTCAAAAATTATTCATATTTCATTATTCATTCATATTAGTTTCAAAAATGATATCACATATACTTTGGTACCTGCAAGATGATTTACAGATAGGATGACACCTTAAATGCTTGGTCATCTGGCTGTCAGTTTGGGAACCAGGGAACAAATTGGACAAGTGAAAAAATCCATCTTGTGTGTTGTGGAGTTGGAATTGGTAAAATTCTGACTCAACCTTGAAGTTTTTTTTAATTGATAAAAATTATTTTTCATATTCATTTTAATAAGTATCTAAAGAATTTTCTTAGAAAATGGACACTTCAAAAAATTTAATGTCAAAAAGATGTTTATTTATAAAGACCATTTCACACCAAAATTGTATTGCATGAGACGTATTCTATGCTTTCAGAAAATAGCTCTTGTTACTTTAAACAAATATATTCATGTTATATAGAGGGCTCTCTAGGCAATATATGCCAGACTCAGCAAGTTTTTGTTATTACCCAACGATTGTGCACATTTGTTCAAGATTATGAAGTTTATAGTAGAATTTAAAAATTTTTTTTCCAAACTTGATTTTAGTCAATCGTCTGTAGGAAATTAACTATTCCTATAGTAGTCAGAACCAGAGAAACTATTTCATAGATTAATTTATTGCCATTTATGAAGTCATTATTTTTTGCATTTTATTCTCTAATTATTAGTTTGTTAAAATAATTTTTGATAATCAGTCAAAAGAATTCCACTTTAAGACAGTATGTTTATCTTGGAAAAATATTTCAGTGTATAAATTCATTATATTTATTTTTTTGATTCTCACCATAAATTTTAGTACGTTTTTAGAAATTTTAGGTAAAAATATTTAGCTACCCAATGCTTTCTTTCTTATAAAAGAAATCAGTGATATATTTTTTAAAAAATCCAACAACCAGTTGTATAATTTTCCTGGCTGTTATTTTTTTGTAGTAAAATCTTTTTACTAATTATAATGAAAAAATTGTGGGAGCACCATCTGTTAAACTATAAAAAACTCGTGTATTTTTAATTACAAAATGGCAGAAAGCTTAATTTTGAGGATAGAGACGAGATTTTTATAAAATTCTAAATGCTAACAATGAGAAAAATCTTCATTAAGTCCAACCCCAATTGAGATATTGACAATCTCCATTTCCACATCCCCTTGACCTCTAACCACCTAAATTTAATAGCTTTTATAGAAGGGGACATTAAAAAACAAAATTTGGCATAACAAGAATCATCATTTCATTTAATATCTCAGGATGGAAAGACACCAACACAATTTTTTCTTTTTTTACTTTAGGTTCATATGAGCTCAAAATATGGAGTTGTGTCAAATTTAACACAATTCCAATACACAACAACTGGGAAAGTAAAAGGAAAATGTCTGAGTCAGAATTGTACATTTCAAATTTGGTGGAGTTGGACTATTTGTTTACAATTCTACCAAGCTGCCCAAAATGGTCTCTGTTGTGGAAACCAAGAAAGCCTTTTACAGCAGGGGTGTCCAACTTTTTTGTTTCTCTGGGCCACATTGGAAGAAGTCATGGAGTTCTGGGCCACAAATATATTGTGATCCAATTTTTAAATATACAATATATTTAAGGATTTACATGTCTAGATTATAGTAATAAGTATTAAAACTTTATCACGAAAAAGATATTTTAAAAAATTCTTCTACAGATGCTTTTAATTTCTACTTAGAATTAACTATTTTTTTTTTAGAATTAAATTTTTGTTTGACTTCTTTATAATAAATAAAGTTATTTGAAAAACAAATATTTGTTTTGTTTGGGTCTTTAATTAATAAAACAACAATGAAACACCATTTTAAAGTGCATTTTTATTTAACTAGTATATTTATAAATAATATGTAGCCCAAAATGTAGTCAATGTGCCAAATGATATTTTTTACGCCAAACTAAAAAAAAAGGGGTACCTAAATTTGGTGCAAAGTAGACAAATCTTGCAATGCTGAAAGGAATATTAAATAAAGCTAGAGTTGGGATTCAAAGGATTATAGACCCAAATTCAGGGAAGAGAGAGAAAGGTCAAAAGATAAAGTAGTGAGAAAGGTTAAATAGACCTTCTGTTATGCAAATATTAATTTTTCAACCTTTCTCACTTTTTATTTTTTGGCCTTTCTCTCCTCTCCCCAAATTTTGGGCTATAATCCTTTGAGTCACGACTCCAGCTTTATTTAGTATTCCTTCCTCATTCACACATTACAAATATTTGAAAATACTTCCTTTCTGTTAAAACATGTATAAAGGTTTATGGCTTTGTGAAACTTCTTTTTTGAGGTTTATGCCATTGAAATAAATAAATAAATTTAAAAATTTGTCGGTTTTTACACGTTTATTGGGACTTGCCTTGGGCTGCATGCGGCCCGCGGGATGGACACCAGTTTTAGAGTAAAAAAGAAAAAAAAACAAATGAACAAACTATGAGAAAGCAAAGTTTCTCTTAAATTTCTTTAACCCAGATATATCTCACTTTACAGATCTTTTCATATCATGAATTTTGTACAAAAGTATCAAGAAAAGAAAATCATTGAGCATATATGATTTAGACATGGATTCAGAAGGTACATTGCTTGGCTATACAAATTTCTAGAGAATGACTCTACATTATCCTTTATCATTAACCACTTTCCATCATATTAATTCTTAAAGTACTTTTTGTACTCGCCAAAAGAAGTTGTTATATCTTCTGTTCAGATTGTCGTTCATTACCAATATAAATCGAGAAAAAAAAATGTAAACTTTTCATTGATCTGAAAACTGTATATCTTCAGTTGAGGTGAAATGCGTTATTATTTTTACCATTGAAATTAATGAGATTTGCTTATTCGTTGATGACTTTTTGCTTTGCAAGAGTTCAGGAATGAATTAGTCATTAAGTAAGGGATAAGCAGTGTACTGTATAAATTTATTATGATTACTATACTGTCCTTAAATACATTATATAAAATTTTGTTTTGTTTTTATTTGCCAATTCTCAAAAAGCATAAAAAGAAATATCAAACTAATTTTATGATAAAAATTTGAGATTATAGCAAATTGTGCTTTGATAAGCAGTGAGACTTCAAATTATGAACAACATTATGATCATAACAGTAAAATCTGTATCCTTATAAAGTCAAGGATGATATTCTTTGCTCTATTGGTATATATATATACACACACATATATATATACACACACACACTAATCAGAAATTTAACAGTACTAATATATATTGTCATTGTCAAAAAAAAACACAGATTACGAAAAAGATATAATCAACATTTTTTTTTATTACAAATTAATATTTTGGACATGATTTTGAATATTAGAAACTTAAATGGTTCACAAAAGTTAATATTTACAATGACAATCTAATGTTTCATCATCATCATTTTTTTTTTTTGAAAAATTATACAAATTCCAGTGTGGCAGGGTTTAGTATTTCTTTCTAAAATTAGATGCATAATATGATATAGAATAGAACCTTTAAAATCTTACCCTGCTTAATCCATTTGCTATCAAACTTCTTAATCTCAAATTACCACAAATGCCATCAAGAATTAATGTGTTTTTTTTTTCAATATAAAAACACCATTTTACAGAACGTGTGGTCCAAAGATGCTTAGGTTTGGCACTCCCGCAACTGTCATCCAAATTGACTTCCGGATAATTTGGACCAACAATTAGTTCCACGTAGTCTCATTCTGATTTTAAAGAGGTAATGCAAATTTTCACATTTCAAATGACTGACAAACAAAATTGTAAAATTCAATGTTGATATACAGTAGATATACATTTACATATATATATGATATTAAATTATCTAACAATAAGTAAACATTAAATATTAAAATAAATTTCATTTAAAATATAAAAAATATTTTTATACATATTACAATAGTTTTTACGATATAAACAAAACTCCAGCAAACAATGTAATTGTTTCTTAAGTTTATCCACAATCAAGGCAAGAAGTGATGTAAATACATACAAATCAAGGCAGAATTAATGTGTTTTAATTTTATGATATTCTTCACAGTGTAATCTTGCAGTGGCACAACAGTATAAGAACCACTAGAAACTGGTTAAAATATGGTCCAAAGACATAAAAGTCTGGTTTGTTTCTTATCAATACACTATTATAATTAATTTCATTCCAAATTTTAGAAAAATGGGATTTCAAATCAATGTAGAAAATTATGATTTCCAGATATGTTAATTTTTTTGCATTTACAAAGAGTAAAACATCAAATCTGCCCAATAGAAATATAGCTTATTTTTAAGAGTGATATTACAAATATATAATAAATGTGATACGGAATAAAAGGTTTTAACATCGATATTCTATTTCCGATAAAATATTTTATTCAACTGGAAAAAATTATATTTAAAACATTTAAAATTAATAGCATTTTATCATATATATAAACTATTTAAATATATATTTAATACTTGTTATGTGCAAATAAATTTTTACATAAATAATTATTTAACAATACTGTCACAAATCAATTCCCTTAATTATTGCATTCAGGATAAAATTATGCAAAAGACTTGTTCAAATTTACAATTTTTGGTTTTCATAAAAATTTAAATTTCAAAAATATAATATAGAGATCAGGATATTGACTATAAATTAAAAGTTATTAATGTATAATTTCTCTATTTCAGATTTGTATAAAAAGATTAATTTATGAATTTAAATCCAAAATGGAATTTGTTCTAATACAATAATACAATTCACTTAGTAGGCATTGTTTTTATATACATATTTAATCTATCACAGCAATAATAGGATACTTAGTAATGACAAAGATTAATGACATTTCAGATTTAATTAAAAAACTTTTTTGTTCTTACTGATACTTTTTAGGAGCCGTTGCATTTTGGAACTTGTAAAATTTATAAAACATCAGCTCTAGGACAATAGCTGATAAAAATCAGCAAATTACCAAAATTTTTCTTCTTTTCTAATACGATTTGTTAAAATCTATTATAAACAAACATTAAATAGAAAAAAGTCTTCACAATTACATATTATAATTCAAAAACAAACTTCCAAACAAAACAGATTTTGGTTTAATATAGCTAACTTATCAATTATTGCTTTTTGTCATACTATATATCAAATCAGAAATAAAAAATTATTTTTGCTTTGAAGTTTATCTGATATGCAGTTTTTCAGAAGTAAAATGGACAGTTCATATATATATCTTCAGAAAGAACTGCAAATGAGATGCCATTTTAAATTTTCTTTTGTGAGTATGTTTATAAAACAAACCACCACTTTTAACATTTTTCATAATATAGTGGCAAAAGTGTTTTTCGTAACTGTATAATAATAGATGGAGATTTTAAAATTATCATAGAATTCGACAGAACCAACGAGGTGTCTTCTTTGGTGGATCGATGGGTTTCAAGTGGCAACTTCCACTTTTTGGAGGATTGTTTGCTTCCTGTGTATGGAATTTAAATTTTTAAAATATATCAATTATACAATATACATTCTAATTCAAGTAATAAAACTTAACATTACATTTCTACATGAATTACTTTTATACAAAGCTTAAAACTTATCTTTTTCTCTCATCACGTAAGTACCACTATAACTGATAATTCATTACAAGGAAACTTATAACTAAATAATGGAACAATCAGTTTGAAGTTTCTTCAAAAATATAATCATCATTATAATTAAAATAAAAATCAGATTTGATACCATTCTTTAATTAAATAAGGTATAAGTAACATTGAAAATATGAGGTGAGAGAAAAAGAATAAGAATAAACTGATAATATATTTTAATAATTTTTTATAAAAGAATTATAAAATTATTTTTTTCTTTAAAATATTAAGCAGTAATTCAAAATAAATACAAGTAGATCTTGCATTACTTTTTGTTCTAACATCTTTTATTAACATTCAGAAAGTTATTTCTATATAAATATTGTTATTTAATACTCACTAATTTCTTTTCCATTTTTGCTTTAATATCTCTTGCTAAGACATAGAAAGCTTCTTCTACATTAATACTGGATTTTGCACTTGTTTCCATAAATTTTATTCCATATTCGATAGCCAACTGAGCAAAATATTTTAATATTAATTTTATATTTAACTTGATGAGGTGATGATAATTATAAGAGTATCTAATTTTCTAAATAAATCCTAACTCAACTAATGACAAAATTTATATAACACAGTGTTAATTTTTACTACAAATTCTATTTACATTTCAATTATTATTTTTATTATATATATCTTATTCATGGAATTTAAAACAATACATTCAGGACCATTCTATTAAATATGTTAGAAGATAACAAGCCACAGATCTATGAATAAGAAGAAATGATTGCTGTATTTGTTAACTTATACAATGGAGGTTGATCACTTTAAATAGCATTTCATACAAGTTATGATTTTTATATATCACATTAGTTCTGTCACCATGTTCTGTTTAGTTTATTCTTTAGATTACAGCTATATCTATCAAATGACTAAGTTTAAATATAATCAGTTTATCTGTAATATTTTATATGGAATAAGTGAAGGAGCAAAAAGTAAGCATCTTGTTTAATAGTTAAATTATTGAAATTATTGTATTTATATTACTGTATTCTATATCTTTTTTAAAATTTTGGTGACTAATTAGATAAAATATCAGAATTTTCTATAAGAATTAATACAATTTTGTTCACATGGGATCAAGATTAACATAACACAATTTTTAATAAAAATATTACTGCTCCTATAACCATTAACTATCAATTATTAATCTTAATATCATTTACATTGTTTCAAATTGTTTTTATATTTTAAGTATATCAAACATTGGTAATGTTTTTTATATTTTAATAACATTTAGATAACTTTTTTGAATCCAGAAATGCATTCATAAATTTTTTCATGTAAGAGTTAATGGTAATAGGAATTTCATTTTACTGAATATCATTTAATAAATTTTAAAATTATTTTTAAAGAAATGTTGCTATTCATATCCCACTTAAATTAAAAAATTATTATTATTCACTTAATGAAAAATAAATATTACAATTATGATAAAAATCAATATATAAGATTTTAATAATTTTTAATTAGGAAAAAAAATATTAAAAAAACTATTTTATGCTTTATTACATTCAGTTCTAATAGTAAATACTTACTTGTTCTCCTCTCTCTTTAGAAACCTGCCTGTATTCATTTCTATCACATTTATTACCCAAAATCATTTTCTCTACATCAGCAGAAGCATGCTTAAAATAATTAAAAATTTATATAAATAATTAAACTGAATTATATAAATCAAAATATGATACTTATTAATGAAAACACCATAATGCTTGTTGCATCACATCATGTGTCACATTCTGATGTGCCATATTGCATAGCAACATTTCACAGCATTGTTAAATTCAAATCAAAATTTATTTGAATTTAACAAGTACCTTTTTTTTTAGCAAAGTCATTCAGTTAATAACAAAAAAAAAGGCAGCACTAATAATTTTTTGTTGTTATTGTACAAAAAGCACAGTATTCAAAAATTCCTGATAAGATTTTTAAAAAAAATAACCAAAATGAATTTTCTTAAATCTTAGTCAAATACTTTTTTGTTAATTTAATTATGTTGAAGCACACTATTCAAAAATCAAAGCAAAATCTATTTCAAAATTAAACAAAATGAATTATAAAAAATTAGTTAAGTACTTTAATGGTTTCATGTAATAAAATTTAAACTGTTATTTAATTAGATAAGTAAAAGTAATTCTGTTTACCATACTTTTCTTAGAATAACAATTCACATGTAAAAATTGCAGACAAACTTAAATGATAACAATTCAATCTCAAAATTCAAATCTAAAGAAATGACAAAACTAATTTGGATTTCTGTATATTTATCAACACACCAAAATCACCTGCAAATTGTTTTGTCACAACTCGCTTTTAATACACTTAGCATAATTGCATTTTATTACCTTTTTTGAAAAAACACTGGAAACATAATATACCATATTCCTGCAGAATACAAACAAAATCATGTTATTTCTTATGTGAGATCCAGGGGGGGTTAATTACAATTAAGCCATAAAATTAAGAAAGTGGAAAAACCTGTTTTTCTAACACCTGGCATTTCTGTTGTCCTCTGGCACGATAGATGAAAGAAGATTCAATATCCTTACAATATCAACAGTCGTTAACGTTTTGAATAAGTTTTGCAAATAAATATGGTTATTAATGGTCCAAACATATGTTCATTAATGGAGAAAAACATCAAAATCGGCTAAATTATGAGATAAGAAGAGTCACAACACCTTGTTGATGACATCTAAGAACTTCAAATTTGTTTTCCTTATATGGCAAAAGGAGTTTTAACACCTGGCAAGAAAGTATCAACAATCCGACTGGGTCATCAAATTCTTATGGCCCCTCCCGGCCGTGAGGCATCTCGACCTCCAACCACCATAAATCAAGTCGTCTGAGTAAAGTCTCCCACGCTCAGGAAGGATAAAAAGGGCTCAAACCCACACATCAGGGTGGACACTCTCCAAGAAGCGACCAGCCCAGCTTCCATCTGTCCCAGCTCTTGTCCTCCCTACGAAGTCTGACGACAATCTGATACTATGAGAAGTCAATTGATCAGCTACCTACCAGAGGTAATATACTTAGTGAATTGTAAACTCTCTCTCTTGGTTGACTCAGAACCTAAGTTAGTTAGATTCAGTCTTTAAGAAAATAGGTACCTGTTAGAATTATCCATCTTGGCTCTAATTTAAACGGAACCAATGTTAACGATATGTAACCTTATTAAGTTTCATCTTCTGTAATCTTTTATGTTGCTTATATTAAGTGTTGTCAAGTTATCCAAATGGTTGTAGTATCTCGTGTATTGCCAACCTCACCACTCCTCCCACTCAAATTACAGAGCACCCTCCTATTTAAACATTTCGTTGAAAGAATATATCTGAATACTCGCAAGTTAGGATGTGCAGAAATACTATCCTAACTGCTGTCAAGACCTGGCGTCGAAGGGATTTTACAATCCTAATGACATCTAATAAAATAGCCATCCAGTGACAAAGTGAACAGCCTTTACCAAGCTGACATCAGAGAAAGGGTTAAGTCTCGCACCTCAACCCCTGGCTTCTCACACTTATATAAATTGAATATAGCGAACAAATACATTATTCCTCTCAACAGCATATCTAACATCAAATGTCAAACTACATTTCATTCCAACAGATAATGGATTATTTGTAATATAATTTTTTCTGTAAAAATTCAATGCTACTTTGAATTTCATTTGAAAAGCATAATGTGATTAGCTTTTGTCATTTCAAAGGCAATGTGACTTGTGATCCAATAAAACATATCACAATGTCAGAATATGACATGCAATGCATTATGTGGTGATTTAAGTAATAAGTATCCAAAAAAAGAATTAAACAAAGTTTTAATTATTATTAATCATCTCTTAATTTTAAAAGAATTTAAAGATATTTTCATTAAACAAATACAGTTATTGATACACAATACATAGCCATTTACTGAATTCAATTCAACTGATAAATATACATTCATTTTAGCACCTACTTTCTAGATAATAAGAATTTTTATAGTTTCTTTAAAGAGAGTTGATACTAGATAACGATTGCTAATTAAGTTATTTAATTTATTTGAAATTATGATTCATTATACTGGAAAAAAAATATTCTTTGTAAATGAAAACTTTTAAGAGAAATAGTTTAATATACCATCCAAAAGTAGATTTAACTACAGTTTTTCTTTTAGAAAAATAATCAAAGCCTTATCTATTTTTTTTTAATATAAGCATAATTAATTAACGAAAATTTAAAAAACTTACACTTTAAAACCTAGTTACTAATTTTGAAATTTTTAATTATTGTTAATTTGAAAGCAAAGCTATTTACAAATGTTCATTATTTTAATGATAAAAATTTTGAAGTTACATGTTTCTACATCTTCAAGTGAATAATGTACAAATTATAGAAACAAAATAAATATGATGCATTTAAACATCTTATTAAAATCTGTAAAAAAATATTTTTTCAAGAGATTTAAATCATATATACATCCAATTATATTGTGCATTTATTTGATTGTATTTATAAATTTAATTTTGCCATTATCAGCTTTCTCTGAATCTTCCAGAAGTTTTACAGTATCCATTCAAAACACTGTTATATAACTTATTATGTCAAAAACAAGCCAGATCTTAATCCATGTGATTTTTGGTTGCAGGAATATTTAAGTATAGTTTATTGAGGAAATGTTACAAATATGGCAGCCATGGAAGTCAATATTACACTGTGTGTGAGAAGCATCACAAAGGATCAAACTGTGGTCAGTCACTGAACAAACTGTTCATTGTTTTCATGTTTTATACCTTCAGGAGACCATATTATACACAGTAATAGCAATTCCTATTTGCACTGAAATCATTTAAGCAGTTAAGAAAAGAAGCCTTTCCTAATTTATATTTGCATTACTCTCACAACTGACCAAAAAATGTATGACAAAAATCTTGAATTTTCTTTCATCCACCATTCACAATACTATGTTAATTATCACACAAGAAACTAGAGTAGCTAAAACAGAACACCTTTATTCAACGTGTCTGCTGGATGAACAAAAGGTAAAAAGTAGGTCAGCGAGTAATGGTTACACAATAAATGAGAATCTGCTGCTACTCAAGCACCCCATCATGGTCAACATGGTAGTAAAACAGTTAAACCCATTAAAATACCATAAATTTAAATAATGAATGGAGATAGAGGATGTGTAGTTGGACATCATTCAGAGTAAAAGCTCTGCACGATGTCAACAAAACAAATTGATCAATTGATAAAGTGATTTTGGTCAATTGATGAGATACAACCAGTAGAAAATTTATAAATTATTTTATTTGCTTTATATCAAAGAAATGTCGATTGTATGTTTTGTTCTTTTATTATTTGTAAGATATATTAGGTTGTTCGGAAAGTACGGTTTTTTTTTTTTTACCACTAGATGGATTAGTCATATTTTTCCTGCCATTTTCATTCTAAACCATATTATAAAGAGGTAACGTTTGTAAGTTTGGATGTAGGGGATAATCTCCGAAACTACTCATCCAATTTCAAAAATTCTTTCACCAATATTTAGAATGGAACTTCAGGATGGACACAGGCTGTATATTATTCCGTTACACATTCATATAAATTAAAAGATATCATCTAGGGTTAAGGCTTTTACGTCCAACAGATGGCGCTATGCATACAATGATCTAAGTTTGCTTTTCTGTGAGGATGAACTAAATCATCTATCCTCTTCTATCTATCTATATAAATAAAAATGTAATGTTCGTTTGTTTCTACCGATTCCTTTGAAATTTTGACACAACGCTGCATTCGAATACGCACGTGTTTTTATATAATATATGTATCAAAATTCCTCCACTGGGGGGAGATGGACAGGATTAAGGCTTACTGTAAAAAACTCTGCTTCTATTTATACTATTTTAGATGCGGTTTTTTGTGTTTTTGATTGTGTTTTAATAGGGTATGTCAAGAGAATGTACACTAAGAAGAGATTTTTCGAAAAATCCCCCTCCCACGGGGAAGTGTTATACATTTATAATAGATACATTTTGAGCCATAACAACGCTTGGCTAATCATTATATATTTTGACAGCTAGCATTTTAAAGCTTATTTGTAAAAAATTTTGTTTGATTTTGTGCAATTGTTTATTTTTTGTGTCCCATCAAATATGGAAGATCGAAAGCAGCATTTCAGCATATTTGCTTTTTTATTACCAAAAAATCAAAATGCTGTTCAAGCAAGAAAAATATTGTGGTACATGTATGGAGATGATGTGTTGAGAGAAAGACAGTGCCAAAACTGGTTTACAAAATTTCGTTCTGGTAAATTTCAATATTGAAGATGCACCACATTCTGGATGGTCAGTTGAAACCAATGAAAACAAAATAAAGGTACTGATTGAAGCAAACTGCCAAATAACAACACATGAAATCGCTAAGAGATTAAATCTGTCAAATTGAACTGTTTATGATTACTTGAAACAAATTGGTTTCATTTCAAAGCTGGATATATGGGTTCCACATGTTCTTAAAGAGAGATGCTGTCTTTGGTGGGATTTTAAGAAAAAATTTTTTTTTTGGAGCTTTTACCAGACAATTTAACAATTGATTTGAAAGTGTACTGCCATCGAGTAAACAAATTGAGTAATATCATCAAA